TCTCTACCTGTTTGTGCCCATATAGGATAAATGGACGTAGCCAAATGGTTGCTGAAGAGAATCTGCCTTTAAGAAGACGGAAAGTTATTCATCGGTTTGAGGGAAACCCTGAGGGAAAACGAGGAAACCACTTCCTCGAATGACAACATCATTAAATCTTGGTTCCTGGAGCTGGGACTCGGACTCAGAAACCCCTTCACCATTTACGTTGCTCTTCTTCATCATCTAAAACCTCTGATTGTTTACAAAGTTCTGTCATCTGCCACCAAGGGGCGTCAGCCCTGAACTGCACTCCCCCTCCAGCCCCCCATCTCTTAAACTTCCTCCCATCAGACATACATTTTTTCAAATTTTCCCAGAGAAGGGAAATACCTGAGCGCCATCCCACCAAAATGAAGCCAACTTCACCAGAAAGAGACAATGAGTGAATCAGGTAATAAACTGATAACAACGACCTCAGAGGGCGTCTTATTATTAACCTGAGCGCCATCTAGTGGACACTACAGACACTATAGGATGTTTATTACTGGTTGACACGATGCGGTGTTTACCCATCACGATGATGTCACCACAGGATCGAGATGTTCAGGTCGTGGTTGTCAAGGCAGACCGTTAAAACACACACCTGACATCATCTGCATGACGATGACATCATCTGCATGACGATGACATCATCTGCATGACAATGACATCATCAGGAATTCAACAGGATCGGGCTTCTGGGTAAAGAGCAACGTGTCTGCGTTTGATAAGGTCGCACGTGTGCACGAGTGCATGACAACAAACACACACACACACAGACACACACACGTCCCCATGTCTCAATATGTTACCCGTTGTAGGGACAAATTGGACATGAGCTGCTCGGCAAACAAGGAGGAAGGTGGACAAAGAATCTAAAAATGGTTCCTAGACTGACACACACACACACACCAACACACACACATCACTGTGACATTTCAGGGGGCTTCAGTGGCAGGATAAATGGACGCCTCTACCTTCCAGACGAATGTCAAACCAAGTGCAGGTTGATGTTTGGTTTGTTGATGTTTTGATGAGTTCAGGAACATTTAAATGTCTTCCTGCAAAATATCCATCGACAGATAAAAATAAAAATACAGAGATTGTGATGAGCAGAAGAGCGCGTCGTTGACCAGCCTCTGCTTCATCGTCTGGTCTAAAGACTGAAATCTTATATTCCATTTATTGTATTTTTATATTTTTTTGGGGAAAAACATCAGATTGAAATAGACCAGAGGTCTGCAATCTATGGTTCCGGAACCATCTACAGCTCTCTTGGCTCTTCGCAAGGGACCTGGTGGCTGGAGGATTCGAACCTGCAACCTTCCGAATACAAATCCGCTTCCTTAACCATTAGCACGGATCATAAAAATGATGATAATAATAATAGTAGGAATAAAGAAATTCCTTAAAGCATTTTCCTTTACACCATAATTTATTGACTTACTTGCCAACGGCAAAAACAAACTGAAGATCAAGTGTGCAATTTTTCGGTGCATCAACATAAGTGACCGGTGTAAATTGTGTCAAACTGAATCTTTATTACTGTACTTGATGGTCAAGTCTGTTATGATGTTTGACGTTTGTGTTAAAATAAAATGACTTCAAATCGATAAAGTCTCGAAACTTTTCGACAGTAAGCGAGTCGGAGTTAAGATCAGAGCGGAGCCGTTTTAAATCCACCTCTCAATCGGCCTCAGAAACCCTGGACTGGCTCAGACCCTTCAGCCTGGAGTGTGTTTGTAAAGGATAAGCTGCCAAGTTACAGCCCGTCTCCACTGGCACTCAGTGTGTGAGTGGCTTTGGCATAATGTCCGTTATCTAAACCCACTCTCTCTCTCACCCCCCCCTCTTTAATTTAAACCTCTCTCTCAGTTTATCTCCTGCTCCATCCTCTCATGAGGGACCAATAAACCTATCAGGCCCAGAAGAGGAGGTGGACGAGGAGGAGGAAGAGGAGGTGACCCCAGTGTGACCTTACGTCACAGCCCGTCTCCATCATTTCCTCCTCCGCACCTCAATCACGGTTTTCGAAACATTTCCAATCCACTGGAGGAGTCATTAATCTCTGACCCTATTCTGACTCAGTCGTAACTCAGGTGGAGGAGGTGGATGAAGAGGGACGGAGGTGAAGAAGAAGAGAAAAAATATGTACATAAAAAGAACAGAAATGGTCAGGAATTATCATCATCAGAGAAATTAAAGGTGAGATTTAATAGTCCAACAAAAGACTCCTCGGCTCAGCCTTCCCTTCACCAACAAACTCCTCTGAAAAGACCAACATTTTTATCAGTTCTGACGAGTAACGGTGTTTCAGTGGAGTTGTCCCTGTAAGGAACAGTGTGTCAAACTCAAGGCCTGGGGTCCAAATGTGGCCCACCAAGTCATTCTATACGGGTGCGTGGGAATTTATCAAGCGGGCCGGATTGAACCCCCCAGCGGGCCGGTTTTGGCCCACAGGCCGTATGTTTGACACCCCTGCTCTAACGAGTCAAAAGAGACAACACTGCAGTGGAGATTAAAGGCATTAAAAACAAGCTACTTGATCTGACTCAATGACCCCCCTCCCCACCCACAGGAAGAGGGTCTGTTACAGTTAGGGATCAAATCTCTGACGATTTTGGCTGTAAGGCAAGAGCACTAACCACTGTTCCAACGTGTGCCCCAGAGTCAGTTATAGCTTAGTCAGTGAGTTAATTCCCCGTCTGTGCTTTTACTCTCCCATAAAGGACAGTTGTCCAATAAATGGTCCAGTGAAGCTGAAACAGTAGCTGCCCTCGTTCATGCCCGTCCTAAAAGACAAAGACAGCGGTGAGACTTTGTCTTCATCCTTCAGTGGAAACCGGTGGTTTCATCACTGCCTTTTATCACCGACACACGCAGCACTCACACTGAGCAGTCGTCTGTCCTCGCTCTCGGGCACGGACGCACAAACGCAGCGCCCTGTCAGCCCTGACGAGCTGATCCCAGATAAGAGAGTGAAGCCAGGTGTGGTCGATGGAGGCGTCAGCCGGGTGTGAAGATGAGGCGCTGGAGGAACCAGAAGACGACGTCGAGTGTTTCCTGTTCCTGTCTACAGTCATATCCTAACTGTGAAGGTTCTCACCCCCGCCTGGCTGTAAGCTCCGCCTTCACCTACTTCATCGGGCATTTAACAGGAATCCGAGCCGATAAAAGACCTGGACAACGGTTGCTGTTTTTTCTCCTCTAGGTGTCTCACTTCCACACACACACACACTGGTTTTCATAATCAACTGTGGACATCATGTCCCATCTGGTCAGTGCCTGTGTGTACGGAGCATCAAAGCCAGCTACTGATCTTCAGAGGAAGTCATTGAACACACACAGACACAGACACACACACACAGACGTGGTTCTTACCTGCGCTCACAGTGATGGCTTCGATGAACTGGTCTCTCCAGCTGTTGGTTCCAACCAGCAGAGCCAGGTTGGTTTTCTTTATCAACTTGTCCACTGTGTTCTGCCAAAAAAAAACAAAAACCAAAAAAAAAACAACAGACGAGACAGGAGACGATGAACAGGTCAGTGACTGTGGAGCGTTATCGACCAAAATATTTAGCTAAATTTAAAATTCAAAACAGTTAAATAATTACACACATAAATTAGCTTTTGGGACTCTGGGAGTTCTGTTGACTTTTAAAAGAAAATCATTTATTCAGGCAAAATTATGAATTTATTGTTTGTTAATTTGATAAACTGGACGTCATGGAAATGTCTCCAAAGAAAATGCTAATCTGAAATCGTCTGGTGTAACGATGTAAAAATGTAAAAAACATGATGTAAAAACAGATCATTTTAACCAACATCTACTCCTTTAGCCGGTCTTACACATAGCTAAGTTTTTTTTGGTAAAAACCACAAGCTATTTTAAATTTACCTGTAGCTTTAGCTGTAGCTAGCTAGCTTAGCCAGCTAAGGATGAATCCTGGAGCAGTTTTAGTCGTTGGATTCAAAGACAAATCAAAACACGTGTTCACCGTTCGTAACACAAAGACTTTCCTGTCAGTCGCTACATATTTACGACAGTTTCTTTTTTTTTCTTACACTTTAAGGATTTTTTTTTTAATGCTAAAAACGTGCTAACGTTTGAGCCTGAACCTGAAGACGACATTTCTCTGTCAGAGCGTTCACTTTGAACAGAATCTTCTCCAACTTGTCTTCGACTGTTTCTCCTCTCAACTGTTGTGCAAGGCACTCGTGCCTGAACACTGCACTTCAGTCTGCCAACGACGATGTACTTGACATCACTATAGGCGACGCTGGCACACGCACACACACACGGACGCACACACACACACGGACGCACTAAAGTGGTTAGGAACTACTTGACAAAGTATATGGGAGGAGAGCTATTACTGGGTATTAACTGTCTGTCTAGAGAGAGAGTGTGGGGCAAGTGACAGCCGGGGACATGCATTTTTACACACACACACACACACACTCTCACAGACACACACACACACAGAAACATGGTAATTACTGTAAATCTACACGTTTCTTCAGGAAGGAAAAGACACAGTAATTAATTTCCGTATATGTCAGAATACTGCAAAAGTATTCCCAGTACTGATAAAGTACTGACTGAGGGTTTTTATTCTACTCTGTAAATATACACTAGATCCATTATAAAATGTATATCTGCAACACAATTAACACATTTTGCTGAAAACGTCCATGTTTTATCATCACAGACACGATAACCAAAAACACCAACCGTACCTTGAACTCGTACGACTCCTCGATGATGACCTCCAGTTTGACGTGGTCTCCCAACATGGGCCGTCCCATCTCGGCGATGCGTCGCTCCTCTTCATCCTTTCCTGTCAGCGCCTCCTCTTCCTCCTCCACCTCCTTCTGCTGCGTCTGTTCCTCTGAAAAACACACAAACACGGCAGCGCCGCGGGTTGAGAACAGAGGTCGTTCAGGAGCTCAGAGCAGGACTCGTCTTCTCTGACCTGATAAGATGCTGATGAAGATGAAGGAATTTCAACTTAGAAAAAAAAAATCTGGTTTCACTGCCTCCTTATTATCCCCTCCTCCCATGATCCCTTGCCTTCCCTGCCTTCTCGTCTTTATGGCCTGTGTCAGTAATTTAAATTCAGTGAAGAGCCTGAACTCACCGCTGGGATCACACACACTGTCAGATCAACATTTCAATAAGCGGCCAGAGCTTTAGCCCTGCTGCTGCCTTTCATTGTACTGCAGTGCATTGTGGGTCTGCAGCACATCGCCGGTCATTTGTTCCCCTCAGTTGAGTTGCAGCATGTGGTTTATGGGAAGAAAAGAAAGCCCCCTACAGGCTGCTGCTGCTGCTGCGACAAACACACTCTATCTGTCACGTTCTCTCTCTCTCTGTGCTGAATCCAGCTGCCGGGTCGTCATCCACAGAACACGCCCGACTGGGCCAGAACACAGGTGGATCAATACAGGATGTCATCTCCCTCTGTCACATGACAGTTACATCGGTGTGGGATCAATAACGTCTGATCTGATCTGATCTAAATCTGATCTAAATCTCTGGGAAAGAAAGAAAGAAAAAAATAGTGTGTGTGTGTGATAGTTTCCACGGTGGTGGTGGGAGATCACAGGCAGAGTGAGGAAAGGAGATAAGGATTTAAAGGATGAAAGAAAGTGAATAAGAAAGAGGAGGAAATCCAAGAACCAGATCAACGATGACGACGATGGCGGCGACAGAGGAGAGAAGACGAGGATGAAGGCGTGGTGGTGGTTGGTTTCCCCTGTCGTGTTTGACAGATTCAGGTTCCACCAGAAGGGGGAGAAGGTGAGGGAGGACGGGGGG